CAGAATGACCACTGGCCCTGTGCTCCTGGTGGAGACATGGGGGAAAAGGGAACACAGCTCACTCACAGTTCTGACTAATTAAACCAACTCCTGTGTCTTTATTTTCCATAATGCTTGCATGCTGCACTTTTGTGATGCATTTTACCTGTGATATTGTGTACCCTCCAGCAGGTGCTGCTGCACCCTGGCAGTGTTTCTGTGGATTAAAAGTCATTTGATGCGCTGCTATACAACCATACTTTGCTCTTTGCTTGGCTCCAAAGGACAGATGAGAGTGCCCTTATCCCTTTTCTCCTTGGTGACTTGCAAGCAGGGTGACAAAGAAGCAAAATTTGCTCATCCCAGAATACTGAAGCCTGCATGGCCTGTAGGAGAAAGGCCTGCAAGTCAGTGGAAGGTACTTATCAAGTAGCACCTTGTGTGCTTGGCAAGGTGCAGAAATGAAGGTGTGCTGCTATGAATTGTGAGATGAGAAATGTTAGCGCTCAATAATGTGTGAAATTGTTATTAAAGTTTTGTGCCTTGCTGGTGATTTAGAAGAGCTGTCTGTCATTGCTGTGTCTTTCCCTAAGTTACAGCTTGAACTTGGCATGCTAACACTGGATTAAAGGGCTCAGTAAGAAAAGCAGAAGAGGCAGGAGGTGTATGTTTGTTCTGTTCAGTGTGTCTGCTGTGCATGAGCAGCTTCTATGGCAGAAGAATTTTCAGTGACTCTCATTTAGGCACTTACTCCTTCCCTGTTACACAGAGTTCCCAAAGGGCTCTTCTCTGCAGTTCTGTTGCTCTGGATTGCTCTTCCTTCTCTTCCAGGTTGCCCAAGGAGGCTGTGGATGCCCCATCCCTGCAGGCATTCAAGGCCAGGCTGGATGTGGCTCTGGGCAGCCTGGGCTGCTGGTTGGCGACCTGCACACAGCAGGGGGTTGGGACTGGAGGAGCGCTGTGGGCCTTTGCAACCCAGGCTGTTCTGTGATTCTGTGATTCCTTCTGTTGCACAGTTTCACTTAACCCACTGTCAGCAGGCCCTTCTATATTGGATAAGGGAACAGGATTTGTGTGTAGCAGGGTTCTCAGGGCTCCAGCTTCCTTCTGCAAGCTTTGCAAGAAGGGAATCCCATACAATCCTCAACTAGGCAACATTTAGACAGAGTTTTGTAACAGTTCTGTCCGTAACACTGCTAAGTTTGTTTTCAGTTAATATCAGGAATCCTTCAGTGCAACCAGAGTTTAACCTTTGTTTTAGCTGAAGCAGCACTTTCTGGCTATAAAGTGGCTAGAGGCATCTCAGCATAGCATGGTTACATCTGCCAGATCCACTGATGCACTGAGCACTGTGACAGCAGTCATTTAAATGGATGGTTGTAAAAGCTGCTGGAGGTTTGCAATCTCGATTACCCAGCATGTGTTTCACAATCTCTTGTTTAGGACTTGTGCAGGCGTGAGCAGGAAGATCTCAGTAATGTCTGATATCCTTGCTGGTGGCCCCAGGAGGGAATTGAAATTTTGCTGTAGTGTTTTTCCTCACTGTTATAGTGATTAAACATCAATCTGGGTGTGATTTAGCACTTCTCAGATTATCTGAGAGCCTTAGCAGGTGAATCTCAGTTGAACAAGCTCAGTTATAATATTGCTTTTGATATTTAACTTTATTAGCGATTTTAAAAGTTCACTGTCAGAATGAGGCAATGAACAGCAGCCATAAATTTCAGGCATGCAGCAGCTGCTACTCGGTGGCGTGCAGCATGGTGAGTTCCCTGGTCGTTCCATTTGGAGATGACTGGAGCTGTGATCTGTCCTCATAGGTACGTAGGACCACTCTGTGCTGCTTTAGCAATCCAACCTGCAGCTGCTTGGGAATTACATGAATAGTGAACCCCAGTCTCGCTGCGATGGGCGAGGAGAACGTCCCCATCTCTCTGTTTCAATTCAACTGGAATTAACCACACTTTGAAAGCTTGGCCCTATGTCATGCCAACGTGGAGATTCATAACATAAATACAGTCATAAGTAATGCGACATTAAAGTTTGATGCTCAAGGACAATGCCTTTTTCTTTTTTTTTAATTTGTATTTTTTTATCACGATCCCTCATGGTTGACTGATAATGCTGTAAGTAACCACTGAAATGTTGCAGGCTGCTTCTACTGCTCAGACTGTTTTCCCTTCTCTGACTCTAGGCTTCTGTGTATTGAGAAGGTGAGCAACTGAGTAAGGCCTGCCTTTCTATCTCTTTACACAAGTGAAAGAATAAATATTTTTTTACCATAGCTTTCTAATATGGTTAGATGCTTCAGCTTTTTCTCCGCTGTGCTTGACCAGAAAGAACAAAAGGTGATGATAATCCCTAAGACTGAGTTACCAGCAGCCGGATTGAAAAAGGAGTTAAAGTGAGACAACCTTATCTGTTACTTCAGTGGAAGCGTAGTTGTTGATTTAAAGCTCTTAGTAAATGATTGTTGGAGATCTGTTGTGTAGCAGAACACTCAATAAGCGTGGCACAGACCTTGCTTCCTCCTGAGGAACAGATATCTGTCAACATCTCACTTCAGCTTGCAGACTTCTAAGGTGCTAGAAGGAAGGTGAACTCGCCAGGCAGTGGTCATGGCAGATCAGAGCGCTACTTACATTAACCAAAACATTAACAACACCAATAACTATGTGATGCCAGGCTCTAAGGAAGACAAAGGAAATCATCTTTATTATCGCGTCCCGGAAGATCCAGCTTCTCCCTCTTCCACCACTACTATCCCGGAGATGATGGATCTCAGTCAAGATTGCAACGAGGGCAGCCGCAGCACTTCTGTGGCTTCTCAGCACGGGTCTGATGGGGAGAGTAGTTCCTCCTCTGAGCACAGTGCTGCAGATGAGCACCCGTACCAGGACATGGATCAGATGAGCCCCGCTCACGAAGACAAACCCATGACATTTGAGAACTGCGGGTTTTGTCCTCCAGGTTTCCACTTGCGTCGGAGCCAGAGCACTTCCACCTCTCCGACCTCCCTCAAGTTCCCACTTGGCACTAACATAGGAGAAAACAACAACTTTGAGGAAGATTACGAGATTTTCATGTTTGTAAAGGTAAGAGCCTGAGTGCTTCTAAGACCCCCGGTCAACCCATGTATCCTTCATGTCACTAACTCACAAGGCACAGAAAGAGAATACTTGCGTGGAGGTGCTTGGATTTCTTCCAGCTCAAGTGGGAGGACAAAATGCTGAAGGTGTTGTGGTTGTTGCCACAATTCTTTTATTCTCCTACTTGACCTGGCTTAGTTAGGCTGGTTCAGTTATTGCCACATTTCATTACCCAGTAGTGCAAATGCGACGGTTATTAACGCTATAGAGAAAATGGCATCTATAGTTCAAATGATGGCAACAAAATTTCTTCATATGCTCATCTCTGACAGAGATCTTCCTTTTAGTGCTTTCAATATTTAGACAAATGTATTTTTGTGGTCCAAGAACAATTTTCAGAGCTCTCCACCTATGGCACATTTACAGATCAAGATGCAGCATGCTCCTGCTGATAGAGCCATCGCTGGAAGTGACTGTGGAGGTCCAGTATCCTACCGTGATACTTTCTTTTTTATTTTTAATAAAATAATGGATGTTCTTCTCTGCAAATAGTCTCATGAATGCAAAAAAGTTTATAAGTGCAATGAAGCATGTGAACAGCATATCGAGGTGTAAGACATGTCCTCCTGTTTTCAGTCTTATCTGGGTTATCTCTAATGCTGATATCTCTAATCTCTGATGATTTTAGGACTTCGAAAACATTCAGAGATGCAGATTCAGCACTTACACTGATCAGTCTGTGCCAGTGTTCCCAGTACTGGAGATATGAGTGTGCTGGGGAGCGTACTGGGGAGGAACATGGAGGGCCTGGAGCAGCTCTGCTGGGAGGGGGCACAGAGTGAAGCCCAAGGCACAGGGAGGGGGGAGCTGAGGGGGTCCTCACTGGGGATCTCCCACAGCCCCTGGCTGCGGTGCTGGGCACTGGGATTAGATGGACCCAGAGGTCCCTTCCAACCTCAACCCTTCTGTGATGATGTGAATGCTTAATTTTTTTTGCAGGGGAAAATATTTTCCTTTGTTAGAATTCCCTTGTTCTCCGTCATGCCATTTTTCTTTTTTAATAAATGGGTTACCATGTATTAGAAAACATAACAAATTCCCTCCATTTTTTTTCTTTCCTAAGCAAAAGAAGTGCAATTCCTTCAGCCTGTCTTCAAGTTATGACTTGTAGGCTTGGAGTGATTTGGTGTGCTGTGGGCTTTTTGGTTTGTTTTTTGACCTCTTCCAGACCCTCTCCCATGCTCCTATGCATTTCTTCTGGTTTTCAGGTATAGGCAACGTATTTAGCAGCGTCAAAAAAAGGAGTGCAGAAAGTGCTTCTTTAATCTATCATTTACCCAAGCCTCTAGCCAGGATGCTTTATGTGCTATATCTTAGCATATTTCTTGGTCCTCTAACACGTAGGATTACCATGTTCATCTGCTGCTGTTCTCGCGTGGATTGTAGCAGCCACTTAGCACTCTCCTGTTTGCATACAGCTATGGAGCAGCACTTTTGCCCATCTGTGCCTGTTGTCTGACTTCGAGAGCATCAGGTTTCTCTCAGTGTTGAGATCTGGTGCAGTGAGAACAGTAGGGTTTTGCAGGCAGAGAATTACTGTGCTATAAATGCATGTGAAAAACACTACCACCGATGCTTCCTCTCTACTGATCTGTGGTCCGTGGGCTGGCTCGTGGTGATTGATGGGGCTGGCACAGCCATGTAGCTGCAGCTCCGAGTATGGACCCACACTGGGAGCTTTACTGCACAGTGACTGCAGCAAGAGCAAATAAGTGCAGATCTGTGGGTCACACTAGGGGAAAATTAAAAAGAGATTTACATGCTTGCTTCTTTTCTGCGTATTTCCCTCTTTTTTTGACTCACTCATAGGTGTCCAGAAATAGAGGTTGTCATCCCTGCCCATTTTATTCTTTCCAGCCATTTTGGTTCCTTTTGTTACACATGAGAAGACTGATTTTAGATTGATTACTGTTGTATTCAGACTATCCCTGACGTCTGTGTAGCAGCACTGCCAGCCATGGAATGACTTCTGCCCAAGATGGAGGGATTTGTATTATTTGCAATTGTTTATTTCAGAAGAAATCCCTAAAAACTGGCTCTGCTGAGACCAGTGTTTTCAAATGATGAAGCAGTATGCAGTCCCTGCAGAGCAGCTGGTGATGATAAGTGTAAATTATTTTGGTAACTATGAGAAGAAAGCTGCTTTTCCTCTTTGCTCCTTGTTTTCTTCATAGACAGAGGGCTGGGTTGGGCTCTAGCTGACTTCAGGTGTCTATAAGCTGCTGACTGCTAAGCTCCTTTTGCAACAGAAAGAAATGGAGCAGTGGGGTGTCCACCTGTGTGAGCAGGTGTAGGCACGAGCTGCAGGATATGGTTAGATGTTCCATAGGCCCCACTGGTTGTGTTGGGCAGCAATCTCATCAGGCTTTCCAACCACAGGTTGAGATGCCTTATGGTTTCCTTCCTGACCTCCAGCTTCCTGTGCAAAAGGCCACGGATCTCCTGTGCATCCTCTCCCATATCTCTTTATGGATTTCTCAGCTATCCTGGGGCCTCTCTTGTGGCTCTGGATATCTAGACTCAGGCCCCCAGACCAAGCCATAAACTTCCCTGCATACAGTGGGTGGTCACTGGAATCAAGGAGGCTGGATGCCACCGGCAGCAGCTTAAACACAAAGCATGGATGACAAATTAGAAGTACCCCTAGGTGAGATATTTGTCATCCTTGTCAGCCTGGAAACAAGCTCCAGGCTGATTTCTTCAGGCTACTTCATTTCTCACTTCTTGCAGTGACTGCACTCAGCAGCAGCTGAAGTGCAGCAGTGAGCAGATTTGGGATGTTGGGCAGCTCAGCCAGAGAGCAGAGAAGAGCTCACAGCCAGCACTAAGAACCAGCACTCTTCTTTTTAACTGTAGGCAACTCATCCTTTTTTTTTTTTATTAACAGCAACTTCCATGTATGTTTGTTTCATACTTTCCATCCTACTCGAGTAGAAAAGAAAAGCCAGCTGAATTTACTACAAACCTATATGGAACTACCTTCTGTGGGAGAAAAATTAGGAGGAAGTATATCACTCCAGTGTGAGTCATTGACACGTTATCTGGTTTTGATAGCTGAACCTATGGGTGAACTTTTTCATATCAGAAGTGATACAACTGTTGTTGATGTTTTACTGCTGGTACATCTCTGATAGTGTTGCTAAGCACTGGTGACCTTGATGAAGATGGTATGATACAATTAGAAACAGATAAGAAGGAAATTGGTCTAGGTTCAGTACAGGCAAGCAGAATCCAAAAGCAGAATATCCATTGAGGAGTTAATTGGGTTTCTGTTGCAGCTTCCATGCAGCCACATCCAAGCAACCTACACGTGTTGAGGAAGTAAATCTCCAGAGCAAGTCCTCCAAGAAAAGATTACTACTTCCCTGATTATATGTATGTACAATTGAGGCACAGAAAGGTGAAAATCTGCATGTTCACCAAGAGGATTTGTGTTGGCTCCTGGTAACCGAAGGGAAGCTCATGGATCTAGGGGTGACCTTCTGGGGGCATGAAATTGCATCCTTGGCTGTCACTGCCAGCCTCACCGTGTCAGATATAACTCATACACAGAACAGGGTCCATCTGTGTTGCTACTTGGGTTGGAAGGCTTTTCAGAGTGACACTGCTCTGTGGTTTGACATCTTAATCTAATTTCCAAATGATACTTATTTGTGTGCAGCTCATACGTCCTTGTTCTTGTGCCAGCGTGCCCTGCTAGCATTCCTTCCTTCAGTCAGCACTTTTGGGTCAGTTTAGGCTCAGTCCTTCTGAGGTGGTTTTGGGCTAACTGAGCAAATCCATTCTGCACACGTTCTTTGCAGAAAGGTGCCACTTCTCACAGCTGCATCCTGTGCCCCATTGCTTCTGCTTCTGTGGGCAGACTAAACAAGAAGCAAGAAAGGGTTCTTTTAATAACTTCCTTAAGATTCCTACCATCATTTAAGTAAACACATCATTCTGTTTGAAATGAAATGTTCCCATGTAAACACAGAATAGAATTAGTCAGAAATCCATTAATTTCTTGGTTCCTTGCACCAGTTTTCACTTATCCTGGCACCTGTTTTCCTTTCAGAAACAATACTTTTTTCCCTAAGATCTTTATAATGGTTCCTCATCGGCCTGCAGAGGGCCTAACACTCTCAGAAATGTGGTTTGAATTTTGGGTGGTGCAGTGCAGAACCAGGACTCAGTGTTCCTCGTGGGTCCCTTCCAGCTAAGGACACTGTCATTCTGTGACTCTAATTTCCACCGTCCTGTTGTGTACTCACTGGTCCTGAGCTCTGACTTTCTCAAGTCCAAGGGGCTTCTATCTGGATCCCTAACTGAAATTTAGATACAGTTGTTCCCTTGTCTGAATGATTGCACTCAGGTTGATCTTCGCTCTGCACACGGGCGCCTACAGCTGTCTCCCTGTAGCTTAGGGATTGCTTGGGAAGAAAACAGAAGCGGAATCGTACCTGTGAATATCTGCACATTTAACCTCTGTCCACCCACACTGATGCCATTCTGGGATTTTTTAAAAAAGGATCTGGTTCCAAAACCTGGCCACCAGGAGCACTGATCTGTGGCCCACAGAATGGATCAGTTCTACTCCATAAACGCGGATCCTTATCTGTAGCTCTGATACTTTGGGTGCCCCTCCCTGCATGAAGGTCTTTGTTGGGCAGAATGGCACGTGGCTGGCCTCAACCATGCTGCCAGCTCCTTGTTAAACAAGAATAGCAGGTGAAATCATTTAAACTTAAAAAGGTCTTGTTTTTCTTCTTGATTTTAACATCTGTTAGCAGGAGCCTTTCCAGATAAGCTCTGGAGAAAATAGTTTGAGAACCTATGCTGCAACTGTGAGAAGTATTGAACCACACCAGTGTGGACAGGATATTATTTAAGATACTTTGACATGTACACTATGTGTGTGGTTTGGAGATTGCTTCGATTTGGGGATTCATCCGTATAAAGTTATGGAA